CAGCAATTAGAGGAAGGAGGTCCTAGGATTGGTTCAGCAGCTCAATGATATTATCGACTTAAATATTCCTTTTTCTACTCGGTCATTCTCCATAGATTGGCCTTTATCACCCTCTTGTTTAGGATTAGGATTATGGCTGTCATATTGGCAGGCATCACAACATAATTCAAGCATCTCACAGAGGAAGGATGGGGACAGGGGCATAAATGATTTTGACCTCATGCAGTTGTTGGTTTAAATCAGAGAAACAACTCTTACTCATAGCTCTTCCAACAGACGTCACCTGGAATTGAGCAGCATGACCAACTCAGATCAATCCCTGCATAGAGGAGACTGTCATGATTGACTTAGACCAGTCATGATTCCTCATGAAGGACTGGGAATCAGGCGGACTAAACAGAAAACTGCATATTATTATGCTGTATAATGTCGACGCAAAATAACCAATAACCATTCTATAGATAAGAGAAATAAGGTGAGTTTACTTGAGCCAGAGTGAGGATCATAACCCGGGAAGGCCTTAGAAAGCATTCCAGAGAAGCATGGTTTTCAGTAGTCTCATATCTTTTTAGAACAAAGAACACACATTAAACACACCCAGGATATATTTTCATCAAAATTTCAAAGAGGTATTTAATTGCAAATTAGCAGGTCAACACGACCCTGATGTCAGGGAAGGGACTAATCCGGGCGTTACCAGTAGGGCATTACCAATAGGGTGTAGGAGGGGAAGTATGCATTCTTATCTTAAGAGAGTGTATTCTTTACTGTAAAGGTTAAACAGATGTACAATGTATGTTTGATAGGCCATAAGTCAAGCTTTTTAGTTCAAGTCGAATCAGTTTTGAACCTGAATAGTTGCCCCATATACCTCAATATGTGAGAATCTCTTGTCAATAAGTTTTTTGTATGCTCTGATTGTTTGAAGATTAACCCACTCATACAGGCATAGAGACATCAAGTTATGTCTGACTAAAGCAACAGTGTTCTGAGAATACTCTTTGTAAACTGCATATGCATAAAAAGGATGAACAATCACTCCCCTAATTACCAAATCTCACGTGCTTCCAGCTTTGGCTCAAGTTATAGCAACACTAGGAAGCACAATGCAGTGAAAATAGCATGGAGTTGGAGGAAGCCAGACCATGATTCAAACCCTGACTCCACCACTCACTATTTTCGTCACCTTGGGCAAGGTACTTAAGCCCCGCCCCTCAGTTTTCTCAACTGTAAAATAGGAAGATACTACCTTTCATGTAAGGTAGTTGTGAGGATTCAATGAGAGAGTGTATGGAAATCACACCGATGTTTGATGATTAATAAGTAAAATTTGGTCTGGCAGTCCTTAGGTCTCTGTAGGGATATGTGTGTAGGATAGCTGTTATAAAAGTAGAATGTTTCCCGCCCTCCAGAAGCTTAGGTGTAACTGAGCAAGCGTTTGGAAAGGAAGTGGTAGCAGAAGAAAGGGCGTTAATACAATCAAGGGACATTTCTTTCAAACTGATACCAATTAATTACATTGCATACCAGTGGCTAAAAATAAAAAATTTTAAAATAATTTTAAAAATAAAAACTTTGCTATTGAGGATTACTTAATTAGCTCCTGATGTATCACTTGGAAGTAATGGAATTTCTTTTTAATAATAAAGCTTGTAGTAGAAATAATTTTATAATAAAATATTTTAAAATATTTAAAATATTATAAAAATATAATTAATCGAGGAACTATTTATTTAGGTTAAGAATCTTTATATAGCTGTTTTTAAATTGTGTGATGTGGGAATGATCATTACAAAACAGGAGCTCAATTACTGAATACTTGTATTCCAGGTTTTGTTCCAAGTACTCTACGTGGAAACATTCTTTCACTTCATGTCCACAACAATCCTACGAGGTAAGCACTATTACTATTATTATTATTGTTATTATTTTCACATCATTGATTCCTTTTTTTCTTCATGGCTGGAGAACTTTGAAGCAAGTCCTAAATATCACGCCATTTGGCACTACCGTCGTCTCCATTCTTCTGATGGGAAAATGAGGATGAGCGAGGTTACTGTCTCAAGGGTGCTGGTAACAGGCAAAACCAGAATCTGAACGCCAGACTTTTGGCGGCAGATCCCATGCTCCTAAGTGCTACTCGGTACAGTCTCAGTGGAAGCACAGCTGGGGAGCACGGCTCAACTACTAAAGCAAGGCCAATACTAAGTAGCTTGTTTGCATAAGCAGGTGGCAGTTTGTCCTCATACGTACAGCTGAAAAAGTTTAGCTTTGCTCAGCTGGAATTGGAAAAGAGGATGTGGATAATGCTCTGATTCCTGAGGGGGATGAGGGGGGAAGGGTGCTCCCATCATGGATGGGCCCAGATCATCCATCCCACTGCATTTCTCCACATCTTTAGACGGCTGCACTGTACGCATAAGAGCAAGAGAAGTGAATGCCATCTCTCCAACAACCTTGTTGACGCCAATAAATGTTTGACTGAAACAAATATGAAATTTAATTTTAGACATGGTAAGTTCAAATAAATCACTTGGTATCATAGTAGAAAGCAGAATTTGTTCTACCATGGGAAACAATATAATAAATACCCAAGTGCAAAAACAATTTTCAAGAAAGTACACACATAATTTGAAGATACTTTATTAAGATCAAAGGTTTTCCATTACATTTATTTATAAATCTTTACTAGTCAAAAAGAAAATAAATAATAAAAATCTATACCTTCAGGAAGCTTTTAAGAACATAGTTTTGTAAATGTGAGAAGTTTACATGTTTGTCAATTTTAAATTATTATAATTTAGATACATTCAATCATTACATGATACTGGGAATGCCAGCCTTAAAGATATCAAGAACATCTATATTGGTAAGTAAAATAATAGTAAAAAATTGTATTTCAATTTCACTTTTTTATTTTTAACCTACTCTAATTTGTTAATCATGGGAATATAGAATTTCCTTCTTGATCTTGGATTTTAAATATATGGACTTAAAAAATATAAACATTCCTCTTCTCTCAAATAGTGGCTGACACTCTGTCTTGGGAGTGGGCTGCTAAAAGAACCAGTCGAGTGAGGAGTGTGTGTGAGTCTCCTTGCTGGAGGAGGAGGTTGGGGATGCAGAAAGTACAGAATCACTGGTTTTTTGCTACAGTGACCAACAAGCCCTTGGAGTTGGCTCTGCCTTATTAAATTTTAACCAAATCTCTAAGCATCAAGATGGCCATGTAAACGTAACTTGCAAGACCACAATTACTACCTGATAAAAAGATTTCTCAAATTGCCAAAGTGCCCCTTTTCTTTTATTTTAAAAATATTGTTCAGTTCTAGTGTAAGAAGGGAGAAAGGTCTAGACAGTTACCTTTTTATAACACCCTCATCATCACCACCAACAGAAAGGACTGTTTCCCCCACCCTACACTATAACTCTACCCCACAGTAAAGAATTCAGGGAAATGTCTGCAAATGGAAAAAAAAAGATCAATGCAGCTATTTCAAAACAAAGAATTTGGGCTACCTAAATTACTCAGATGATTGCCTAAATTATTATACATTTCCCATTACTCTTTGTACAGGAAGTCTTGATTTATAGGAAATTTTAGTCAACATTCAAGAGAATATTCTACCCAAACCCTCGGTGTGAGACTTGTCTTTTCTTAGACCAGCCACACAATGTTAAAGTATGGCTTTATATCAGATTTGGCAACCCTGTTCTCCACTTTTTTTTTAATAAATTGCTTGCTATTTAGCTAAAAAACTTAGAACTCACTGTTTGGATTATGTTGTTAAATAACATGTAGTCCGATTATCTATTTTGGTGTGAGTGTGTATCAAGGTCAGTGCAGTAGTCTTTGTCTCTGTTTCTTATGTGAAATTTGACAGGTCTGAAGGAAATCCAGTGGATAATGCTATCAAATGTGCGGTGCACATGTAACACACATGTGGATCTATCTGTGTACGAATAAAGGTCAAATATTTACATGGAATGTTGACTCTGACTTATAAAACTATTACTTTAAATTAGGACATCTTTACATACAATCAGTTTACTTTATGAATAGCCCCATTTGATAATTAAAAAAATATGCCTTTCAAATATTTCATAAATATATAAAATTTCACTACATTCTATTTTTCTTTAAGCATGACATCTAAACTCTCTTTACAAATCAACAAAAAATATTTTTTCTGTTTGAAAGTCACAGATGCAATGATTTTTGATTGGCAGGGTTTTACTGCATGCAAGAATGGCAGGACATTTCTAGTATTTTGAGCTATATAATTTACTTGCTGAAGATCAGTAGTATCAAAGAAAAATGAGAGATCTCATCTAAATATTTACAATATAAGAGTCTTTCTTAAAATTCTTTAAAAATGGCAAGATTAGGATGGTTATCTAGCCAGTGTTAAAAATTATTTTGATGATGAAGAAATAAGTTAACATGGAAAGTTTTCTAAAATACACCTTAGTGCAATTTAAATATATGGTGATCAATTGCACATATTTGACAATGATCATATTTTATTTAACATATGTATCAGTAACATGTAAAACATTTACTTTTAGAATAGGAGTCACATTCTTATAATTTATTGGGGAAAGTCAAAGCCAGCTAAAAAAAAAACCCTTTTGGTGACTCCAGAAATGTTGTCTGAGGATTTACAAATAAAAATGTCCTTTGTAATCATTACTTGCCCCAAGGTATCACCATTCTTACTAAGACTAATGCTGTAAGGAAGGGTTTTTAGTTATATATATAATAAGGGAAGAGGGAAGACAGACTTTTAAAAATTTGTTGAGTCACTGATATGTACTCATAAGGAAGGCCTTCTCAAGCTATAACATGAAGGCTACTCACTAAGGAAAATTTTCAGTAATTCCTTTAAGATTTTTAAATGCACACACTGTCCATATATCGTGTATATGTAAGAGAAAAGTTGCAGTTTTAGAATAGTAAGAGGACTCCTCCTTACTCTCAGCCTTATTCTCCTTATTCTCAGGTGAATCTATGATGATCCACCCAAAAGACAGCAAAGCTGTCCCGTCTGTCTGGAGCTGCCAAGGCGGCTAAATTAATACTTTCACCTGCTAATATGAGAACGTGATGGCAGTGACCACGTCTGAGACCAGCCGAAGCACTGCACTCCAATGTATATCCTCTAGCGATGCCTCTCTAAAGTTCAGCCTCATCTTGCAGATAGAGCTGCATATTCAAGACAACCAGAAGGTTCAAAGCTTTGCTCAGAATACAGTACTCTGCAAATTTTGATTTCGGATCTTATACTCAAACACTGTTTGAAATAAGGCTGTAAAAAGATACAAACAAAATCAACATTCAGTTTTAACCAAGATTGCTCATCTATAACAGTGACATAGATTAAAAAACCCTACCACCAAAATGCTAACTGATTTAACATGCACACTACAAAAAAAAAAAAAAGAAAAAGTCATTATGGAAATTTCCCTTAGTTATGAATGTAACCAGCTCACTGGAACCCAATGGGTATCTGTCTCCAATTTATCAAAAGTTGTTTTTAGCTCATTGAATGCCACGGTGAGATCATCATTTACTATAATTTTGTCAAAAAGATGACCATATTGACTTTCCATTATCTGTGCAGATTTAATCATTTCTTGAAAGTCGTCTTCCTACAAAAGGAAGTATTAAAAAAAATTGTTAGCCAGGCCATTACATCACTTCACATTAATGCCAACATTCCACAACAGGTTTATCTAACACTGTTCTGTGCTCCTTTCACCTCAGCCAGAAATGAAAATCACCCTCTTTAACTACAAGTTCTTCAGAACTCATAATTTCTAATACTATCTCTCTGATTTGCTTGTAACTAACTGCTCTGACAAGAGTCAAGAGTCCCACCTAACCTCAATTTCAGGATAATCAGTCCTGAATTGATAACTCATCAATATAGGGATATTTCAGTATTAAAATAGCTATGGGAAAGGACAGAACTCTTTATTCTGATGCTTTTAGTGGCTGCATTGTTTATGCTTATTTATAGCAAGGAATCTATAACATAAATTACTTTTTCAGATTTGGATACATTTATAAAAGGACAGTTACCATGTCCCTCCTACGTCTCATTAGAAGTGGGTCCAGGGCCCCTCATAGTCACATTTTTGAAACGAGAAAGTATTTTAGTTGATTATATAACTCAACTCTATATAACTATATACATAAATGTAAGTGAGCCAAATCTTAAGACAATGTTATCATTTACTATCTTCATTGAGAAACTTTTAAATTTATAAGTAGTACAATAACTCTACACACTGCAACATACTGAAGTAACTTCAGAGTCCACATTTCAATGTCATGGAAGATTTCACAACAACAGAAACTGGAGTTAACCAAGAGCCCCAAGTAACTAACGTCATGTGACAGCGTGGATACGTATCGTATTTCAGACGAAAGACACTTATCAAATATTGGAATCAAAAACATAATCTGTATTTTGTAACCACAATTAATAGTTTACAAATTATACAGACTAAGGTTAAATATGAGTTAATTAAGGCGGGGGAAGCTCTTGACATTTAATTTCTTTGCATTTTATTTTTGATCCTAAAGTAGAATACATTATCTTAAGGTTAAAAACCAAAAACAATGAATGGCCTTGCCAGAAGTCATTCGAGTCACTAACGTACCACAGTTGCCATTTCCAATAACACTCACAGGAAATACAAATGCCATTACCAAATAATAACACGAGACTACTTGCCCTATACCTAAAATGGTGCTTTTTCTTTTACTATCTCAAATATGATTGTTGATGCAGAGACAAAAAAGGCAAATTGTTAAACTTTTCATTTAGACTACTAATGAACAGCAGTAACTGACCTTGGTATTTTTCCCTTTAAAAATAAGGCTAGTCTGAAAACTAAGTGGTCTAATTTTTATATAAGTGTTCGGCCTACAAAAGTTGTGTAAGTATGCATAATAGCATTCAAAATAGTTTTTGAGTCAATGTAATATAAGGCTCCATCCATAGAGGCACAAAAAGCAATTCCAGTGCAATCATTCAAAATGTATGTACTAAACACAACTCTCTCTCTCATAGATTGTTGGATCACGACGTCTATTACAGTCTTTCTAAGGTTGTTGCCACGCGTATATGATTTTCAGTTCTGCTTTATGTCTTGTCACTAAGCGTCCTCATACTTACTGTAAAGGGCTTTGCAGCACCTTGGTCATCTCTGCTTGAAATAATCTTTGCATTTTTTCTTGTCTCCCTCAAACGCTCTATTGATGGAGGTTTTATAAATATCACATATGGTTTAAATTCTAGTGTCCTTAAATGCTTCACTGTCTGCAAGAAAGAAAACAAGTTTTCTTATATTTCTTCATAATGTCTTGAGTGAGTTTTACAGTAAAACTGAATTTTCTTTTTAAGGAGAAAATTTCTTAAAATTATTTTCTAATTAAGGTCAGTAAGTCTTTCAATATATTATTATTCAATCAGTTGTTGACAGTTAAATGTAATAAATACCCCTGAAAAGATGCTGGAGAATGTAACTTGCTTTTAAAAATGTTTTAAAATATGCCATAATTAATACCTAACAGAAGCAGCTAAAAATACCATGAAACAGATTTTTAAATCAAATACTCAAAAGATACTATGAGTTAAATAATTTTCTGCACATGAAAGTCTTCCAACCATCCCATTTAAGCCTCTTCCTGACCTCAAGCATGAGTTCTTCTTCTCTTTCTCTTTCAGTCTACCCTTCAGAGTGTCCTAAAAGGGCAAGGCTCCTGCTCTCCATGAAGCTTGTCAACATTCCCCCAGGAAATATTTTATGTTATTGACACTGTGCTTCTGGGGATTCATCTATAATGAAGGTGATTGATAAAGGGTTAGAGTTGAGGGATATTCTTAATCTGTGTGTCAGGACCCCTCCAGAATATGAATATAAATCATAAACTGCACTGAAAAGTTCGGCAGACATGTGATGTGAGTGTGTGAGAGTGAGGTAGGGGTGGTGGCAGTGGGGCGGTGGTGGTGGTAGGCAACAGAGGGGCTGGTGAGGTCCTGCGAATGCAGAGTTTAAACCACGCCGAGGGAGCTGGGAACAACTAGACCCAGGACACTAGCAGACAGGTTCTGCACAAGCAGGAGTATCCCATTCACCCCTGGTGCCTAAGTTAGGAGTCAGTGCCCCTGATGATTCTTGGGACTCTTGTAGTCCTGATTCTTCTTCCTTAAGAGGAACAAAAGGCTTCTCCAGGTCATTGTGGCTCTTGGAGGCTGTCCACCCCAGGGTGTAACCATCAGTGGAGGGAGGATCTGTGGCCCCTGAGGAACAAAGAAAATGCCGTGGGCTGGGTTTCTGCTGGAAGACATGCGATTGTAAAGGAACTGAATGGCTTCACCACTGGCATTCTCAGTCCACAGTGGACATAAAGAGTTCCCAGGGTGCCAGGCAAAGATCCACCCAAGAGCTGCAATGAGGGTCTCATGCAGGGCGATTCCTGTGACGTGCCCCACAGCTCTAGCTGGGGGTTTACACTTCTAGGATCTATACAGAACCAGAATCAAAGAAAGAACAACAACCAAAATGTCCATTGTCAAAAATTATAAACACTTATAATAATACGTAACACATAAGAAGACATTACACATACAACATAATGTATTTTGTAAAATACAAAATATATTGAAGAAATATCTGAGTCATTATATTTGGCAAAAACTGAAGATAAGCAAGAGTTTCAAACACAGATCTCGAGGCCTCCCCTACTCCTCTTCTCTAATAATATGGGCTTTTTTTTCACCAAAGAGTTCTCAAATTACATTTAAATGCTTTTGCTATCTTAGAAAAGCCACATATATGCCCAAAGTGAGTAGACTTCAGATTTACCTCCTATTAAAATGCTCACATGAAGTGTAGTGGAATACACGGGCCAGAAGGGTGTAAAATGGTTCATTGTTTACTTACATGAGGCTGAACATCCAACAAACAAACTTTGTTTTTCGCCAGGACAGACCGAACTGAGTCTATGCTTGTGCCGTAGTAGTTGTTTTTATATTCACCATATTCAATAAACCTGTAGAAAATTAGACACGCATCAGAATCATTTGTGAATTAAAAAAATATGTAGGTGGCAAGACATAATTCATACGTAAAAGATATTTTTGCTGAATGTGTATTTTACTGTGTTTAATAAAATAAATAGGGCCAAGTACTCCAGAATGTCAATTTTAAAAAATCTTCTATTTTACATTTTCAAATCAGTAACACTTGCTTGTATTACACTTCAGCAGAAAAAAGGAATTCGGGCCAGCAGTAGTCTAATGTTTTCCATCACCTCTTTTTCAGAACTAATGCAATGCAATAAAACAGCGAATAAGCCAAACAATAGAAACTACTGAAATTTCACTGCACGCTACAGAATAACCACGCTCAGCTTCAGAACGAGGGGAGGAGCTGGTTGGTGGCTAATGGAACCAGGGCAGCCGAGTACGTGCTATAAAAACACAACTGCTGTGCCAAACGCGAAAAAAGCATTTTGATGTTTCAATAAAATCTCATAATCCTGCATTAAAATACACATTGCTCTCTGATACCCTAAAATATTCATGCTAACGCAAATGGAAAACCTGGGGGTAGGAGACTTAGGGCTAGCGAGAGGATATGGTACAAGCAGATGATTAACATTACTTCAATTTTTTGAAGAGCCAATGAGACAGAGATTTGTGTGTGAAGGAGACTGTGGAACTAGAGATCTATTAGCTGTTAGTTTTTAAAATAAAATTCTATCCAAATTATATGTGAAGATTCAATTAGTGGGGTGGAAAGAGGTCATAATATACTAGCAACCTCCCTTCATTCTTCAAAATAATTCCTACATGTTTAACTTACCAGAAATACAGCACTTCTAGGATATTTAAAAAATTACAGGCAAAGATTGATAACAACTATTAAATGAATTACCACCTTTTTATCAGTTTCAAATATTAGTATAAAACTTAAAATACATTTCAAATGGAAGGGAACCCTCAGTTGTCTAAAACTGGATATACAGGCACATGCTTAAAAACAATAGTCGCATAAATATTCTTAAAAACTTCCACGTACTTGTTATTTTGTACATCTGTCTCAAACAAATGCTTGGAAATGAAAATGTATTCAACACCATCACTCTCCTGGCTTCTTCTTGCTCTGGTAGTGTCTGTGATGTAATTAAAAAGAGTTTAGAAGAGTCTACATCAGCCACCCTAAGGAAAATACTAAAAAAGAAATCACTGTGTTATTTAATTAAAGTAACTTTTCTTAAACAAGATTTTAAAACTTATAAAAAAGCAAATTAGCTAATAAAATATAGTAAAATGTCCTTAATTCAGATTTTCCACTGATATTAAAAGTATATTGATTTGAAGATGGATTCAAAATTAAATTGCATTGTGTCTGTGCTAGTATTTATTATTTTGAAGGCTCTCTAATGTGTTAATTAAATAAAAATGGTATTTAAACCCTGGAGGAAAAAAACCCTTTCTTTTGCAAATAATACGCTTATTATCATTATTTACTGATCCTTCTTCATTGAAGCAAGTCTAGTGCCCACTATGTTGTAAGGTAAACTCTGAAATTATTTTATTGTCTTCCACACATGGCACATAGTGGATATGCCATCAATGTTTTGTTTTATTAACCGAATGAAGTCGAAGACCTCTATGTGCTACTCATTCCTCCTTGGCAAAGATATAAACATCTTTTTGGAATACTACTGAATTTCCAGACTTTCAGTAATTTTGCCTCATTATTTGTTACTGAATTGTAATGGAGCAGAAAATACAAGATTAGCTTAAAAACAAAAACAAAAATCCCTAAGGCCTGGCAGTGCTGTTATGGCAAGTGTGAAGTGACTACAGTCCTTCCTTCCTGCTGATTCCAGCTGAAAAGTTGAGACCCAAGGGACCTCTCTGAGCACTCTGAAAAGAAACACAGGAGGTAAATTGTGGAGGGGAGTCAACCTGCAGGGAGAAGAGTTTAACTTTTATTTTCTCTTAGCTTTGCCTTTAGGGTGGGAATCATTCACAGAGCAGCATGGTGAATAAACTAATAGAAGCCCTGAGGTTTTGGTGAAAACACCCAGGAAAAAAAAAGCCCCTGTGGGTTGGAGAGTGTGGAGAGAGTCCAGGAAGGGAGAGAACCAGAGAAGGAAATACTCTACCTCTGTGTATGAACCAACACTAGTCTAAGAATAACCCCTGAGCTATGCACGTGCAGTGCATACTCAAACCAGCACAGTAAGGGCTTAAAGAAGTGAACTGAGATTAGAATAGACAAGTCTCAGCCTAACCCCTGAATAACAGAACACATCCAACCAACGCAGAAAAGGCTTAGAGAACTAAGCTGAGATCTGAACCATGCACATGAGTTTCAGACTAATCCCTGAACAACATGTGACCCTACAAGTGTTTGGGTCTGGACAGAGCAGACCCAAACCAACAGAGCAAATGTTTAGAGAACTGAAGTGAGATTTAAACTACAGCTCACAGAAAATGAGATAGAACTTAGGGTCTACAAATAAACTGGTTGATCACTTGCTAAAATAAAAACATCAACATTCTCCAGAATACTATAACAGGACCTAGAGTTGATACTACGTTGCATTCATGATATCCAGAATGCAATTTAAAATTATTCACCATAAAAGGACCAAGAAAATATGACCAATTCTCCATAGGTCTCAAGACCAAGTCTCTGACAGATGACAACCCTGAATGATCTAGAAGTTAGAACTATCAAAGACTTTAAAGCAACTATTATTGTAACTGTGCTTCATAGATAAAGGAAAACACACCTGAAATGAATGAAAATATGAATTCTTAGATAAATAGCAACTATAAAGAACAACAAAATGGAAATTTTAGAACTAAAATATACAATATCAAACAGAAATAAATCACTATTTGGGCTCAGTGGCAGAATGGAGATGGATTAATATAAATTACAAAATCTGAGCAACAAGGAGAAAAATGATTGAGAAAATATAAATGGAGCCCCAGGGACCTGTGTGAAAATACTGAAATGTGTAACGTGTATAATTGGGCTCCTAGAAGGAGAAGAAAAAGAGATTGAGGCAGAAAAAAATGTATTTGAAGAAATAATGGCCAAAAACTGCTAAAATTTGGCTCAAGACAAATTTTACAGATTTCAGAAGCTTAACAAATGCCAAACAGGATAAATTTAAAGAAAACCACACCTAGCACATCATAACCAAACTACTAAAAGTCAAAGACAAAGAGAAAATCTTGAAAGCATCTAGAAAAAAACCAACACTGTACACAAAAGGGAATAATGATTTCAATGACTACAGATTTCTTATCATAAATCATAAAAACAAGAAAGCAGTGAAATAATATCTTTAAAGTACTGAAAGAAAGACCTATCAACTAAAATATTCTTCAGGAATAAAGGCAAAATAAAGACCTTTTCAGATGGAGAGAAACTAATAGAATTCATCAGATCTGTTCTAAAAGAAATATTCAAGGAAGTTTTTTAGGCTGAAAGGAAATGATAAGAAAGAAACTTGTATCTTCAGAAATGAAGAAAGACCAAGAAAAGAAGAAATAGTTGAGTATATATAGAAGTCTACTTTTTTCCTCTTAAGTTGTTTAAAATATATATGACTGTTTCAAAGTAAAAGTTATAACACTATCTGGTGGAGTTTTCTTTTTTTTTTTTTTTAAAGTTTTTTTTTTTTTTTTTTTCCCCCCAAGGCCCCAGTAGATTGTTGTATGTCATAGCTGCACATCCTTCTAGTTGCTGTATGTGGGACGCGGCCTCAGCATGGCCGGAGAAGCGGTGCGTCGGTGCGCACCTGGGATCCGAACCCAGGCCGCCAGCAGCGGAGCGCGCGCACTTAACCACTAAGCCACGGGGCCGGCCCTGGTGGAGTTTTCAATGTATGCAAATATAATAAATTTAACCACTACAACAAAAAGGAATGGAAAAGACATATGATTGCAAGTTTTCTATATTTTATGTGAAATGGCACAAAGTTAACTCTACGTGGACTGTGAATGGTTAGGTATATGGATATTGTAATCCCTAGAGCAACCAGCAACAAAATAATTTAAAGAGATATAAGCAGAGAGCCAACAGGTAAATTAAAATGGAATACTAAAAAACATTCAAATAATTTTTGTAAAAAAGGTAGAAAAGGAAGAAAAAGAAAACAAAAAACAAAGGATAAACAGAAAACAAATCCTAATATGGTAGCTTACATTCAGTCATTTTCATAATTCAGTAAATGTTAGTGGTCTATCTTCTAATTAAAAGGCAAAGATTGATAGAATGGGTAAAAAAGCAAGACCCTAGTACATGCTGTCTATAAGTCTAAAAGAAAGACACATTAAATATAAAGACACAGATAAATAAAGTAAGTAAAGATAAATAAAGAAAGATAAAGAAAGTAAACAGATGGAAGATGATATACCATGTAAATAGGAAGCATAAGAAGGCTGAAGTGGCTACTTTAATTCAGATAAAAGAGACTTCAAGGATGAAATAACACTAATCACATAAACATTTTCTGCAAATAGGAGGAGGATCACTGCTTAATTCATTTTATGATATTAGTACAACCCTAATCTCCAAAACTGACAAAGACTAGAGAAGAAGAAAATTGCAGACCAATATCCATCATAATTTTAGATACAAAAATCCTCAACAAAAATATTACCAAGTCAAATTCAACAATATATTTTTTTTAAAAGATACTATATCATGACCAAGTAGAATTTATCTCAGGAATGAAAGGTTGGCTTACATTTGAAAATCACTGGAATTCACCATATTAACAGGATAGAATATAACACACCCTCACTTCAATATATGCAGAAAAAGCATTAGAAAAAAATTCAACACATTTATGATAAAGTCCTAGCAAACTAAGAATCACAAGGAATGCCCTCAAACTAGTAAAGGGCATCAATGAACCAACATCATAGTTAATGGTAAAAGACTGAACTGTTTTCCCCTCAGGTCAGGAACATGAAAAGTTTGCTAAAAACAGAAAAAAATAACTTGAAATGGATCAAGACCCAAATGTAAAACCTAAAATTATAAAACTTCTAGAAAAAACAGGAAATGTCTTTGTAAGCCTGAGATAATAAAGGATTTTTAGATAGAACACAAAAAGCACAAAACATAAAAGAAAAAAATCAGACTGTGTCAAAACTAAAAACTTTTGCTTTTCGAAAGACACCATTAAGAAAATGAAAAGGTAAGCCATAGACTGGAAGAAAATATTTGTAATACATTTATCATCAGATAAAGGACACATATCCAGAATATACAAAACACTCCCAAAACCCAATAACGAGACAACTCAATTTTTAAAAGTGGCAAAAGATTTGAATAGACACTTCACCAAAAAGGATACACAAAAGGCTGAGTCCACAAAATGATACTCAACATCATTAGTCATTAGTTAAATGCAAACTGGAGTATGAGATACCACTACACACGTATTACATTGACAAAAATTTAAAAGACTGACTATATCCAGGATTGGCAAGGATGTGGAGCAACTGGATCTTACACACACTGCTAGTGGGTTGTAAAATGGTGTAGGAAAACAGTTTGGTCGTTTCTTAAAAAATTAAATATACATCCACCATATGACCCAGCCATTCTGCCATTCTACTCCGACTTACTTACCCAAGAGAAACAAAAACATATGTTTATCAAAATACTTGAATACAAACCTCACAGTAGCTTTATTTGTAATAGCCGAAAATGAATGAAAAACCCCCAAGTATCCATCAACAGGTGAATGGACGGATAAACAAGCAGTGGCATTTCTGTACAATGAAATACTACTCATCAATGAAGAGGGATGAATTATGGATCTATGAAACAACATGGGTGAATCTCAGACTCATCATGCTGAGTCAAAAAAGCCAGGCAAAAAATAATTGGGAACATACTGTATAATTCTATTTACATAAAATGCCACATGATTCAAACTAATCTATAGTGACAGAATGCAGATTAGTGGTTGCCTGGGGATGGAGACGGAAATATTAATTATGTTGTGGTGATTTCACATGTGTATACATATGTTAAAACTAACCTAATTGTACATTTTAAATATGTGTAGTTTATTTCAAGTATATCTCAATAATATTATAAAAATAAAAATGTTGGGGCCAGCCCCGTGGCTTAGCGGTTAAGTGCGCGTGCTCCGCTACTGGCGGCCCGGGTTTGGATCCCGGGCGCGCACCGACGCACCGCTTCTCCGGCCATGCTGAGGCCACGTCCCACATACAGCAACTAGAAGGATGTGCAGCTATGACATACAACTATCTACTGGGGCTTTGGGAGAAAAAAAATGTGGAAAGTGGGGAAAAAGTAATACAAAAAGTAATGGATTTATAAAACCCAATTAATTTAAATTATATCCAAAATTTTAATTCCCTTCTATTTAGTTAGCAATCATATTTTAATACAACACTCAGATCTCCTGAAACAGTTTTTCATACTTTCACTGGTGGAGCACCAATAGGTTGTGCTGTTCTTTACGGAATGTCACACCCTCTGCAGGAATAGCATGAAGTACTGATAAATTAAATTCTATCATAAAAGCTAAGAATGAATTTCACAGCAGAAAAACAGACTCCATTAAGTACATAAAACATAACATGCATCCAAGAATATGAAAGATATTGGAATTAGTATGATGCTCACCCTGCTTCGGAGTTTAGGGTTAATATTCATTTATGACTTAATCAATTTTGTTGTTTGTTGGTGTTCCTTTAACAAAAAGTAGGCTTAAGAAAAATGCATTGCTGAAAATCAAAACTGAGAATGTTTTGTGCATTAACCTGTTTCTCATGAACTGAGGAAAGGTTGCCTTTATTCAATTTTAATGGCAGAACACTCTGAAAATCTGGAATGCACAGTTTAAGGATCACTGCTCTGACACATGGAGTCCACTTAGGAGGGTTAAAAACAATTAGAACCACGTCAAGTGAACAAGACATTTATGATGCTGCCAAACACATTTAAAAGGTAACATGTCCACAATCGAATTGTTTGCTTATCATGATCAACCCAACTTATCCAAGTCTGATGTACTTTTACTGATTTTAGTGTCTAATTGCAATGAGGTGCCATAGGAATCTCACAAACCCATTAACAGTGAGGAATCCTGAACACGGGATCTGCAAATTCTTATGAGAAGAGAATTCAAGGGGAAAGATGGGCATACTAACCACAACGCAGGCTACTACCGCACCATAGTTCACTGAGTACCCACTGTGCTCACAGGGTAAAACAAACGTCAACTAAATATGAGACAAACTCTACCCGCTTCCCCTGCCCCAGCAAAATGCCAGAATAACTGCCCTGGTGAGATAAGAAAAAAAAATTTTTTTTAACTGGTACCCTAGTTTACAACATTTCAGTCAACCACAGACCACACATATGATGGTGGTCCCATAAGATTAGCACCATATAGCCTAGGTGTGGAGTAGGCTGTACCATCTAGGTTTGTGTAAGCACACTCGACAACGTTCGCACAGGCATGAAATCGCCTAACCACACATTTCTCAGAATGTATCCCCATTGTTAAGCAACGCATGACTGTATATACATTTTTAGAAATCTCTTCTGAGGTATCCCATGGACAAAGAAGTGTTCTAGAACATGAGTACTTTGAAACCTATGAAAACACATAACTGTGATCTATGCCTTCATGAGAAACCACAGAAAGTGATTAACAGCTGTGGTTCACTAAGAGTGCCCAAATTTCAAACTATAAAGACTTTGGAATCCATCAGGTATTTGATATCTACTGCAATACTTTTTGTTAACTACTATATTTTAATTTACTGAGAGCCCCTTTTAAGACTGATTCTAATAACAGTCATTTAGATTTACTGATGATAACCTATAGCCTGATGATAATGTTGATGCGGCTTATCAAGGATGAAACTTCCCACAGAGAAGCAAAGAGGTAGAAAACAGGGGATGCGGCTACCACTTTCTTTAAAAGCAACTTTGAATGTTTAATATGGCTATATGGATAATTTTAAAAGATCATATAATTTGTTCAGCCATTTTAGCCCACAAGCAATAGCATTTACCTGATTTAGCAACCGCTTAAATAGTTTTTAAAAACTGAAATAATTATAGATTTACAAGAAGTTGCAAGAATAGCACAGAGAGGTCCCAAGTAACCATCACGCAGCTTCCTCCAGTGGTAACCTCTTCCATAACTATAGTACATATCGAACCCAGGAAATCAACATCAGCAAACCACAATTAACTAAACTGCCAAGCAGGTCTTTTTAACATTTAAAAAACCTGAAGAGTAATATACAGACAGAAAAGTTCACATGTAAGTTTGATGAATTTTCACAGATTGAACACACCCACGTAACCCAGAACTCTAATAAGTAGCAGAAAATTGCCAGCGCTCCAGAGTCATGCTCTTCTGATCCATCTCTTCGAGATTTCTAACAGCACACATCAGCACTGCTTTTACTGTATTTATAAAAATGGAATATGCAGAATATTCATACTGCATAGTCTCTTTTGTGTCTCCCTCCTTTCAGTCAACAGGATGTTGTGGGGTTCATTCGCACTGCTGCACGGAGTAGCAGATGGTTTATTCTTGCTGCATTACGGCATTCCACTGTGTGAATATATCATTTACTTATCCAGTCTGCTACCGATGGGCATTTGGGTAGTTTCCAGTTTTGAGCTCTTATGAATAAAGTTTCCAAGAATGTCTAAGTACATGTTGTGTGCATTTCTGCTGGGTGTGTACTAGGAGTGGAAACGCTGGCTTATAAGGTATGTGTTTGCTCAGCTTTAGTAAATACCCTGCCACTTAGTTTTCCAAAGTGGTTGAATTAATTTATACTCCCACCAGCAGTGTGTGTGCATTCCACTCCTCCACATCTTGTTCAATTTATCCATTCTGCTGGACATTTAGTACATGTTTTAGAAAGGAGAATTACAGAGTTAAACATCAAGCAAAATACTGGTGGTACAATCAAAGCAGTAATTTTTCTCCCAACAATGAAAACTCTACCTAAAGTATTTTACAAAGCAAAACAATCTAAAATTCCAAAATTGCTCTTAAAATGTATTCTTCTTTAATTAATTACATCATCCTGAGTTGATGCTATGGCTATATTTTCCAAACATGTTTGATATTATGAATCACCTGGGATACTTGATTTTCGGGCATTCTGACAGATCTCCTGAAGGAGAATCTCTTTGGAAAGGCCTTGGGTACTTTTCACAAGAACCCCAAGAGATTCTTTTTATCAGGCAAGTCTTGAAAAAACACTGCCATATGGGGATCTTTTGATATTAACGCCTGTTTAAAAGTGAATCAGAGTGGAAAATTATTACTTTGGGAATTTCTTTGGAGAGTGCCAGGCCCAGAACCTTCCCGGATGTTGTCAATTTCTGTAACAACTTCAGAGGCAAATACTATTTTAATAATTAGATAAATTGAAGCCAAAGTATCTTGCCCTGGGTCCTTGAGTAATATCAAAAGTACCGTGGAGGGTTACATTTGATAGACAGTCTTACTGATATTTATCATCTTCAAAAGAAATCAGTTTTTACTACTAACTGGGCTACATAAAGAGAATCTATAGTTTGAAAGGACTGTGTGGTGTTACATAGGAGGAAGAAGATGAAAAGTGGTATCATCAAACCTGGTTTCAAAGGCAATGGCAGCTATCACCTATGGAACTCTAGTCAAGGTATCCTTTCTACCCTCGTTTCCTTCTCTGTGAAATGGAGACATTACTCATCTTACATGTGGGAGCACAAAATATAAAGATGAAAATAAAAGAGATGAATATACAGTAGGAAACTAATCAATGCATTATTTTCCTTTGTAATCTGTTTTTCTATCCTCTTTCGTAATTGCTCACCTATAAGCTGAACAATTGTTTTGTAAAATTTTCTAATTACCTGTATATTGCAATTCAGCTTTTATAAGAGAAGTGAATAATTAAAGTTAAAAAGAAAAAAAGAAAGAAACTGTTTAATTCCGCATTTTCCTTGTCTTTCATCTCTGTTGGTGGAAATCAGCAGTCCTATAACTTATGGCTGAAAATGATTACAAACAATAATTTGGAAAAACATAGTAACAAGGTAATAGAAGTAATAGAAAACTATAATTTTAAAATAAAGTTTAACTCTTCCAAAACTAGAGAACATTGCTAAGGGCAACATACACACGCTTTTTTTTTTTAACTAGTACTAAAACCACTTGAAAAAGCCAACATTTCAATTTAGTCTTTCAGATGGCTTTCTAATATCAACATATTAAGTAGTCAAATGGCATTTGTTCTGGAGATCAAAATGCTTCCAGCATCACATTTCATTTGTAAGAACGCCTGTGAAAACCATTTTTCTAAAAATAGATCTAATTCTGTGTACTGAAAAAAAGCTTACCATATTTGGATTATATATGGCCATGAAAGGCCCATTTAACACTATCTGCCAATTACTACATATAAAAAGTAATTAGGAAAGGTTTATATCGTAAGAAGCCTCCTTCAGCTCTCTGTGGTTTGGTCCTTCTAATCTTAAAGCTGGTGAAGAACTCTGGAAAACATTAGCACTTATTTTAGGAAACAGAATAGACTTTTATTTAGAAGCAAATTTGTAAATAATAATTTGACATCATATGTATATTAAAATTCACCATAAAAATCTGGGAGTAGGGAAGCTGAGATCAACAAGTATCCTGCCAATGATCTATGTGACCCAGGGCAAATCTCTAACTCTTGTGCCTTAGTTTTCTTCTCTGTAGAATGTGGGTAATGTCACAACATACTTCATCAGCTGTTGTGAGGTCTAGATGGCGAATGCTTACAACAGTGGCATCATACATGCTGTGTAGGTGTTGAGCAGTCATTATTAGTGCAATCCCAGCAGCGTCGAATAGCACAGAACTTACGGGGCACTGTCACACCGTAGTGCTGTGTGTCACTGATCAGCAGCTTTCGTTTCAGTTCATTCAAACCTACTCCTACCGGACCTAAAAAAACAGGATAATATAAACTCATTACTAAACCAAACACCACATAAACACTTCTATAACTGACATGAATCCATCAGACAGACTGAAAACATGTATCCAACTTTACATGCATCCCTAGTAAAGAGGTTATCTCTAGTTAAGTTGTACATAAGAAAAAGCTAGGAGTTCTTTTGTTGATTTTTCACTTTTTAAATTTAAATCTCCACCTTTCCATTAAAAGATTAGAAGTATTTATGTCTTAAATGAAACATACCCAAGAGTACCTGAGTATATTACCAAGTAAAGGTATCCAGAAGAGCTTAAAAAATATGTGAGCCTAAAAAATTAAATTGCACAGTCTGAAAAGTGATAATTTCAATTTTAAATGTTTTTAGATCTTAAAAGAAAATCTTGGAACCTTGATTTTATTTTAGCTGCAAATCTAATTATGCATTTTAAATTTGCAAAACCATCAGCACATTTACATTTATCAAGATCCTCTCCTACACTGTATATTTTCATTTGGTCCTTAAGCATTGGAAAACTTGCATAGACTTTACATATTTAAATCAATCGATGCATACATACTACACACCTACAAGGAACAAGGCATATGGTAAATATGGTGGAGAAGAAAAGATGATAAGTGAACTGTGCTTTCAAAGAAAGTAACTGGGTTGAGAGAGTCAGACTAAATGATTAAGAGACTGAGGACGAAAAACGAAGAAGAGCGGTTACAAATATGAGTCTGAAATAAAAAATCGGAAGGACACAAGCCGCAGATGGCCAGCGTCTCACAACTCTGACACCAGGGTCTATGTAATGGTGGTGTCGTGCATTGGGGAGAACACAAGCCCTCGGGCCAGACTGCCCTGAGTTCGATTCCCGTCTTCATTACTCCCTCATCTGCTAACACTGGATGCTACAGTCTGAATGTGTGTCCCCCCCCAAGTCACATGCTGGAATCCTCAAGCCCAATGTGATGGCGTTAGAAGGTGTGGGCTTGGGGAGGTGACTGGGTCACGAGGCTGGAGCCCTCATAATTGGGATTAGTGCTCTTATGAAAGATATCTCGCTGAGCTCCGCAGCCCCTTCAGCAAGGGGAAGTCTGTGACCCAGAAGAGGGCCCTCACCCCACCACCCGGATCTCTGACTTCCAGCCTCCAGAACTGAGAAATAATTTCTGTTGTTCATAAGCCACCCAGTCTGTGGTATTTTGTTATAGCAGCCCAAATGGACTAAGACACTGAACAAGTTAAAGTCTCTGAGCCTTATTAGACTTCATTCTAATTCTGAAAGTAATTTTGAAATAAATAAATAAAAATAATTACCCTCCCTGCTTGGGAGGAATAAATGAAAACTTACATATAGTGCCTAGCACAGAATCCAGGCATTTGACTGTCATTCCCTTGCCTACTTCCTCTTCTGAGCTCTGAAAAGAACAAGGTTTTATGCCGGACAATGAAGAACATATAGGTGGACAGAGCAGAGCAGGGCGGGCATTCTGAGTGGAGGGAAAGTGTGAGCCAAGATGAAGAGGGAGGAGTTGGGGCCTGAGCCTTCCTTGCTCTAACGCTACCTCCTGTATAAAGAGACCTGTCCCCCTACTGGTCATTCACTACACCCTCTACCTCTCCACGCACTTCATGTCTTTACTTTCATGGGTCATAATTCTCCCCCTACTTTGCTAATATCCTCAAATTTCTTATGCGTGGTCCTTTTATTACACTTGCCAAGGAAACTTCCAGTCGAAGATCAATCCAATGGCCCCTCTCCACTTCCACATCTGGACTACTGAGTGCAGAAAATCCATATAATCCTGGAGCAGTAATGCCATACATTCACGCCCTCCAGCAATTACTCTATGTTTTCATTATCAATTGTATTTCTTAGACCCCCATACTGGTAATTTTGATCCTCCATTCTCCTCTCTACTCACTCCTGGGAGCCTTCTTGTGACTTCTCTCTCATGTACCCCTGTAGTAAAACATATTTTACAGGCTGTCAATTTTACCTCCTAACTATCCTTCAGACCTATGGTTCTCCATTGACATTGCTGCCACACTAGTCTAAGATATCACCATTTTTGCCTCCTTTCCTGGAACAGCCTCCTAACGGCTGCCCCACATCTGCTCATCAGCCACTTTAATCCATCATAATCCAGCAGCCAGAGAGTTCTTTTTAAGGAGCTATTCTGATCTTGTTATTCCCTTGCTTAACATTCTTAGAAATGTAGTTTCCAATGGCTCTTCCGAAAAAGATTAAAATCTTTACACGGTTTAGGAGGCTCTGCGTGATGTGATTCCTGCCTTGTCCTCCTGCCTCGAAGCATTTACTCCAGCTCTCCCTCCCCTTTACCTGAAGCCCCAGGTAATTCTGATATGTCCTTCAGAGCTCAGCGCAAACAGCCCTTCCTCAAGAAAGTCTCTTCTGACCCCGTACAGCATGTTTCTCATTTTTACGGTATCAGAGCATCCTGTACATCTCCCTCATAATATTTAAAAGCTGTAATTAAACAATTGGATAATACATTATTTAACGGCCTCTCTCCCCTGCCAGGAAGAGGCACTGTGAGGGCAGGAATCATATTATGTCATTTACCATCTCCATAAAGTAAGCCCTCAATAAAAATCTGTTGAATGAGCAAAACTTCTAGTGTTACCATCACCACCTCAAGCTCAGCAGAAGACCTCAAGTACTTTAAAGAACAGAGAAGCCACCACACGCAATGTCTTCAAAATCCTTTCTATAAACATAAGCATCTAGACCCACCTAGACCATCTTTTGTCCTCCTCTTTGGTTGTACATAACCTTCTTTAGAGATATCTCTTCCTGACGTCTTCACCTCTCTTGCTTCTGGGTTCTTTCCATCAGCACTTAAAACTAATAAATTCTCTCCTACCTTAAAACAAGAACAACAAAAAAACTCAACAAAACTTCCCTTAACCCCACGCCCTCCTCTAGCTACCGTTCGCTCCTGTCTCCACCATCCTGGTTTAGGCTTCTGCCATTTCTCACCAGCACCTCTCATTCTTCCTCCACTGTGCACAAAATCACACGGAAATTCTCTGATAGGTTTACATAGATTGCATGTTGTGAGCGACATTTGAATCTCTAATCTGAATCCTTGCCCGTCCTTCCTTTGCAGTGCACACTCCAGCTGCCTGAGATTTCCCCTCCTTCCTGAACTATGGCAGGTTCTCCTTTGTGCTGTTGGGTCCTCGTCACACGGTCTTTTGCAAGAACACTCCTATCCTCTCTTTGTGTGCTAATTCTTGCTTGTTGTTTAGGATTCAGCTTAGATACACCTTAGGGAATCTTCCCTGACAATTTGGATTTGGCTTAGGCACCGAGTTCACGGGCTCCCTGTATCTGCACACTCTATTGTAACTGTTTATCAACTCGTCTTTACCCTCTAACAGACTGTGAACTCTGTGAAAACACAGATGCCATGTACTTATTCACCGATTGTTTCCCCAGCTGGCAAACTGTAGGCATTCATTAGTTTACTTATTTAAATTAAACTCAGTAATTATGCTGTTATGGAGGTAAAATTATTTGTTGAACAAAACAAGGGAGTGGGAGTTAAAGGGAAAAAGCGTTTGCAGCTAGCATGCCTGGATAGGATGGTTAGGCATGTTAGGTTACATCCTCAAGGTCACTGAGAGAGGCTGGTGGAGCGCACATTTGGGCTTGGCTCTCTGGGACCTTAAGATACAGAGAAGCAGGCGGGAAGGTGATGACCCTGGCTCTGGAACAGTGAGTTTAAGGGAGGGAAATCCACCGACCTAAACTCAGAGGAGGATACAATGTAAGAGCGCGGCCAGGGCTGGGGGCCCTTGTAAATGTAGTCACACCAAGGTAAAATTGGAGACTGCCAGAAGAGACCACGTCTCCGAGGGAGAGGAGGAAAGCGAGAACATTTACTGTCTATGAAATGCCAGGCACCACGCAGGGGCTTATGTATTTTACCTACTCTGAAGGTACAAAAAATAGAATGAGTTCTAAAACTTTAAATAAACAGAAATCTTTAAATCTTTAAAACAAACAGAATCTTTAAAATAAACAGAAAACAAACAAGAAAAACAAGTGGTATGACAATGGGGCTGCCTTCTATGTACAGATGATGCAAACCCAATTACAGATGCTCAAAAAAGAAAAAGCAAACAAAACAGAACACTAAAACTTAAATAATGGGTCTTGGCCTGCCATGACCCCCCCTAAAGCACCTACGACTGAAAGGGGTGATGTGAATGGACTGGTTCCTCAGCAGCTCTCAGCTCTGGAGTGCTTCCCAGAGTGTGCAATCCTTTGCTAAGTGCGAGTCGGCATTTTTTTCTTTCTTCTACTACCCATGCCAAAAAAACCACAATGATTTATTTTAACTCTGGAGGAAAAAACTAGGTATGTTTGAATTAGTATGCTGTCTCTAATGTGACACCCGTAAATTTGACTACATTCAATTTTAGCCCTTGTATAATCAAACGCTTAACTAGTGAGCTCGCTTCACTGCACACTCATGGAGGAAGCCAGGAATGTTCAGTGGTAAATGATTTTATTTGAAAATTTTTCTCCTAGATTAGGTTATTTGAGGTCATCATCTTCAAAGGTGGGAGTGTCCTCACAAAAGGGTTAAAATAGGGACACCATTTCAATCACTCTCACTACACAACTGCCAGGCGGGCCTTACAAACAGCATTTTCCCTGACAGACCCTTGGATCATTCTGCCATACATACTGGTCAAGTTCTAGTTTCTCCTCTTTAGATTGTGACCTTAAGACCTCAACTTAAGAGCCACACTCCTGTCCTGTATCCTTCTTCTATGGTTAGGAAGAAGTTCACAACATTTCCAGTTGGCTGGTTTGTATTTGGAATACAAAATCTACTTACACTGCAGTCAGTTTAGGGGTGCAAACAGACTTAGGATCATTTGTGTGCCTCTGCAATGGGATGGATTCATTTCTCCTTCAATATATACATTTTTACCACAATTGGGGAAATGCATTTATACGTATGT